GTGCTCGGCTGGTCTGTGGGTGCTGAGTCCCTTCAAGCTACACAGGCCTATGCTGCCTGGTCCAGGTGTGTTTTCACTGAAGCCTCACTTTCCATTCTCCCCTAGCGATGAGCAAAGGTGCCATCTCACTGTCCTTAAACCTTGAAAAGGCTGGGTGGTTTGGCCTGGAACTGGGTGTGTGAGCAGAATAATACACGGGGAGACCAGAAGGATGTCTGGCGGTCAGTAGTTCTCAGGGGCTGCGGGCCTGCGAGGTGGGGGAGTCTGTCCTGGTGTTCAGTGGTGACTGACGAGAGACAGTGACCCCATAGATGGTAGAGCGGAGTCCAGGAATGATTTAGAAGAGAGTGCGGGGGGACGGCTGGGGCTGCCTGGCTTTGGAGCAGAACCCGCTTTCTGCCCTTAGTCCTTAATGCCCCCTGTCCCACTGTAGAGTGTGGTGAGGACCACGGCGATCTTTCCTGAAATACATGTAGATATTTTCTGATGCAGTTGTGGTGACCAGTGGAAAGGAGGTTGGATCCTGGCCCCCTAGACCACTTGCGTTACCCAGTATTAGACAGATATTTGAGAAATTAAATTGTGAAAGAAGACGTGAAAATCATTATTAATGCTGCAAAGAGCTTAGAACAGTTTCTGGAGGACTCTCTCTCTAGAGAGCTGTGAAGGTGGCAGACCAGGTTCTACAGTCCATCTGGGGTCACACTGTGATCAAAGGAAGATGCCACCTTGGGTTTGAAAGCAGTGACTCCCCGGGGACAGAGAGAGTGTGAGCCTGTTAAGAGGACAGGCGTGATCGGAGGGGAAGTCTAGGTGTGTCTGCTGTATAAAGGGAGGCACGATACCAAGTGAGAAATGATATGTGTATGTTAGTAGATTTAGGAAGCGGGTCCCTGTCGCTCCAGGGACTGAGACCCACGTTCCATCCCTCTAACCACCTGCCCCTAAGCACCCCCAGCAGCCAGTCTCATGGTGACTGTGGGGCTGCTCAAACATGGGAGGAGTTTCTGTCCTCGCTGGTCCCGCTCTGGGGCAGCCGTGGGGCCTCTGAGTCACCTGTAACCCCCACCGCTCACTGCCATGGACAGTTCTGGCTCTCTGCTCCTCCCATGTCCCTCACCTGCCTCCTCCTTCACTCCAGCCACACTGCCCTGCTCTGCTCTGTTTCCTCCTCCCGGAAGCCTCCCTGGATTCTCCCACTAACCCCTGGGGACAGGCCCACCTTCCCGGGCAAGAGGAAAGGACACAGAAGTCAGTCAGAGCAGCAGCCCCGGGCTCCATCATGAGCCAGTGTCCCAGGTCACCAGGAGAACAAGCTTCCGCTGTGCCCTGTCTAGGGCTCCCTCCCTCCCTGATGCCAACAAGAGGAACAGGCCACATGACAGAGACTGGGACCCCCTGATCTGCTCTCTACATGACTCAACCAGGGAGTCCAATGCAAAAGGGACAGGTCTCAGTCCCCGAAAGCTCTCAGGCTCACTTCACCCCTGACTCATGACTCACATCCTCGTCCTGGGGAGGCTCCCGTTCCTCCCAGTGGCTCCCAAGAATTTCCCAAGGTGGGACCGGTGATCCTGTGCTGTCTGACAGATTTGTTCACTATTTCACACCCCTGTGTCTTCACGGCGGCAACTTTATCATAGGGTGGGGTCCTCTCAGACAGTGAGATCACCGGCCAAAGTCCTTACACTCAGACACTGCCCAGGTTAGATGAATTTGATCAAACTCTAGTTCTGTCTCCTGAATTAGAGAAAAAATTAAGGACCACTAGCCCAAGTAGGAGCTGCTCCCCATTTTCCTGACCGTCCCTAGAAACTGGCGACAGGGACCCGCTTCCTAAATCTACTAACATACACATATCATTTCTCACTCGGTATCGTGCCTCCCTTTATACAGCAGACACACCTAGACTTCACCTCCG